TGGGAGAACTTGCACAATTGGTGGCTGACTAAATACTTTTTTGCCCCACTGTATGTCTATAAAGAAAACAAATGCGATGACATTTAGGAAGAAGAGACTTTCCAGTGCTCCCATTTACTGTCTTCTGAATAAACTAAAGTTCAAGGAAACATGTTGTGACTGGGTTGGTACAGAAATCTGCAGATCCTTTTAAATATATATGTACTCTTAGTAGGATTTTCTCACTTTTTCTTAAATCTGATTCAATTCCTTCCTTGGTATTACCACTTAAGCCTTAAAATCCTATGTTGTTTAGGCTCCAAAAATGTTTAATAAAATGAGGTTTTGAGCCTGATTTTGTTTCCCCATTATACATATCATATATAACTTCCTTTTTCTAATTGGTACAAAGGAGTTGTTATGACAGCATTTCTAGAGCTGATCTAGAGTATTAGTTGTGGTTTTTTTCACTGTAATATATTGAATGAATATGCATAGTAACTACTGTAACAATTAAAATATATTGGCTTATAATTTATAAATAAAAAAGCATACTCCATATACCTTGGCCAAATTATATTTGTTTAGAGGCATGGATATAATACTAAGATGAATGGTTGCTTCTGGGTGGGCTGCACCAAGCCCATTTTCTACGCTGCTGATACCAGCGGATGAAGGCATCAGATAACAGAATGCCAACTTTGGCGTACCATATAGCTGTAATTCTGATCTGCAATCTGCGTGATGTATTTGCACTTCTAAATACATTTATAATGTACTTCAGTGTGTGTACATGTTTGAGATTGTGTTGTTGAACATTTGCAGATATTTCATAGATACATTAAAACTCAAAATATTGTTCTATAACTTTTTTTGTGTTTTGTTTGTTTTTAGTTCTCTGTGCAAAAAATTTGGTGAAAAAGGATTTTTTCCGTAAGTACATATTTCTGTTTTTATACCTTCTATTCTGTGTGACATAGGGTTCAAATGTATTGTCTTACTAGCTAGCATTTCATAATCAGAACAATAAACAGAGTGCTCTGATTCAGTCAGATATCTACTCACATTCACGTATTGTTTATGGCTTATGCTAATAGTGTGCATTGATACTCTTGCATTTGGAATACAAGCCAGTGTGCTATGGTCATTAAGACCCTGGACTAAGAGCAGGGAGACGGAGATTCAAGTCCATTCTCAACCATGGAAGCTTATTGGGTGACTTTGGATCAGTTATTGTCTCTTAGCCCAACCTGCCAATTGGAGAAGGGAGTGTTAATGTACAGGTGAAACTCAAAAAATTAGAATATCGTGCACATGTTCATTTATGTCAGTAAGGCATAATGTGCATAAAAGGTGAAACCAATATATGAGATAGATGCATTACGTGCAAAGCGAGATATGTCAAGCCTTA